TTAAGACATGACAGTGATAATTTCTCCAGATTCAGACAAATTATTCATTGCAAAGACATGTGATCTAGTGATTCCTCTTCTGTGGCTAGAAGCTGCAGGGCTGAGAATGGGGCAGCCTCGAGGCAAGGCCTGTTCTGCCCCTCATAGGGGGAGGAGTAGGAGTCAGGGTTGATTTCCCCAGGATTGGTGAGAGAGGTAGGCATGGATGTGCTAGAAATGCACATAGTCAACTACCAGACTAGCTTAGGAAGGGTCCTACTTCTCAGTCTCAGACTTCTCCAGGATGGTGGGCTCTACTCTAAGGCAGTATTCGGTGGATAGGGGGTAGAAACTGCTGGAGACTGAGCATATAGCTGGTGTGAGGGGTGAACTTCACATACTACTCTCTTATTTCAATGTGGGTGGGAACTAAAAGGTCATCCTCCCAATAAATGATAAGATGTTCTGCTCAGAAGAAAACACACAGGGACTCTTTTTACCCTCTGGAATTTGTGGTTAGAAAATCAAGGAGAAGTTTAAGGCACTAAACAGAAGTGGGAGGGAGGAGGACCAAGCTCTGCTCAGATATCTGGAGAGTCCCTGTCAGAGCTCTGGGCCAGTGCTAGTCCTTGGTCTTGGTCCCAGTTGGCTTCCCTGAGGGTAAGGGACCTGCCTGGGGATTCCCCATCATTCAAGAGTTCTTTGAGTGACCCCCTCCTTGGCCCTCCAGGAGGGAGTTTCCCAGAATGTTCCCACACCCCCATGAAGCCTCCTTAGCTACCCCAAAGTTGTTTGTGGTTCGTGATGGGGTGGTATCAGGTGACCCCACAGGTGAGGGAGAATTGTGAATATTAGCATCTGGATTTGCATGAGATGGGAAAAGAGGGAAGATGAAATTGGAAAGTCAACAGGGTGGAGGCCTCACAGGAGATAATTACCAAATATCGTAAGATTGAAATAGACTTCAAAGGGAAGAGGGGTTGGTGGGCACAGCCTCTGAAGCCAGACTGCCCCAATTTAAGTACTAGGGCTGCAGTTTACAAGCTGCATGATCTTGAGCAAATGGCTTAACTTCACTGTACCTTAGGTTTTCCTCTTCTGTAAAATGTGAATACTATTATCTATCACATAGCGTTGCTACAAAGATTAAACGTAATGATAACTATAAAATACTTAAAAGAGTGATAGTATGGTAAAATCGTAGCATTTAATAAATGTTATTTGTTAAGTTGAACTAGACTCGTCTCTTAAAAATTTGGTTCCTACTAATCTTTCTTACATAAATTGCATGTACATCTTTCTATCCCCAATACACACACACCTTCCTTCCAACAGTTAGGGGTTAGAGGCTTTGGTTTGCTAATATACTCAGGTAGCCCATTTGGAATCTGAAATATCTGAGAATTGGAAAGGGCTTAGAGACCATCTAATCCTGTGGCTTTCCACATTCGCTCACTGCACATTAGAATCCCCTGGAATTCAGCAACAACCCAGTGCCCAGGCTGCTCCCCCTAATTTATAAATCAGAGCTGGGCCTCCATATTGTTAAGTCTCATGTGTGATCATGGTTGACAATCACTGTCTTGGTCCATGCTTCCTGCTTTAAAGTGAGGCCACTAGGACTCAGAGAGGAAGTAACAATCCAGCAAGACAGGACCCAGGACCTCAGTCCCCAGTGACTGCAGGTAGGTTCTCCCTTTGTCATATATGCTGACCCACTGTGCACCTAGAGGGGGGCTGGCCTTGAGTTAGCCCCTCACAGAACAGTCGGACAGGAGGTGCCTCCCACATTTTACTTCCTCCCCCGCCCACCTCAGTCAGGAGGCAGATGATGGGCTCTGTGACAGGCACAGCGTGACTGGATTGGGGGTCTTGTGTTATTTTGTGTCAGACCCCCCCTAGCAAGACCCAGTTTTCTCTTGGGAGCCTAGAGGGCAGCTCAGGGCTTCTCAGCAGCTCTGGGGACCTTTGGTCACTTGAGTGGCTGGTCTTTCAGGGAGAGTAGCTGGGCGTGCTAGAAGCTGCAGGGCTGAGAAAGGGGCAGCCTCGAGGCAAGGCCTGTTCTGCCCCTACATGCTATGGGGTTTTGGCACAATTAACTCAAAGTTTCTGGACCTCTGAGAAAATCAGTGTCTTGAGGTGAGTTCTAAAGCCCTTTCTCCCAGCAGCTGCTGCCCCTCTCTCTCCCTCCCAGAGTCATCTTGGGGGATAGTTTGTCCTAGGGTCTCCGTTGGCCTTATCTGTGAAGTGGGAGTAATGGTAATAGCTGGCCTCCACGCCAACCTGGGAGAGTTACTGTGAGGTGCCTGAAGCACTTACATGAATTCCAAAAAGTAGAAAGTAGGTTCTGTGGAAACCGAAATGCAGACCTACCCCTCCCCCTCCCCCACCAGAGCAGAAGCCCTGCATGTTAGAAGCCAAAATTTACTTCCCAAATGTTCCTCCTCCCCCTCACTGAGTTCTAGGCTCAGTGAGGAAGTCAGGGGATGTGTCCAATTTTGCCCATTCTACATTTGGGCAAACAACCGTCCCTGTGCCCCAGTGGCCATTGTCTTGTGCGAGCCCTTTCCAAGGCAGGATGTCCCCAGGAGGGCTGGGGTGGACCGGGCAGCGGCAGGTGGGGACTGGAGGGATGAGGCCCCAGATCAGCCACTTCCTCTGCAAGGGAAGTCAAACTCTTCCTCTTGTAAGTGGCTGGCTGGCGGCAGGGCCTCTGGTTTCTCTGGGGCCCTAGCAGGAAGCAGTCTTGCTTCCCAAGGTAAAGATGTTTCTTGTCACAGGTGGTTGCTTTCTGGTTAGAGGTGGCAGCAGTTATCACCCCCACTAGAACTCTGGGATCTGCCAGTCAAGGGGGACTGTGAGGGTGGGGGTGGGGCAGGGAGCGGCAAATGAGAAAGCCAGAGAGAGCTCAGCAGAGCTTGCTTAGGGAGGAAGAAGCTGCTGTCACTTCCCGAAAGCTGGGCCTGCCTCTAGGCGGGGAGAAGGTCAGGGCGGTTGGTCCCTGTGGCCCGCCTACCCCACCCCTCCCTTCTGCTTGGGGTTTGCCCAGACTCTCTGGAGCACAGAATTTACAGTAAATGTTGTCACCAGTGGAAACTCTCAGAGGGGGCGAGGAAAGGACTAGAGAAAGGGGCAGGACTCACAGCCCCCAGTTCCCGTCTTAAAAACATCCCCCAGTCTCATGTGTTGCTTTATCTTATCTTTCGGTAAAGAGGGGATGCCCTCCTGGGATGTGCCTGAAAACAACCAAATGGTAAGCTGAGGGAGCCAGCCACACCTTGCAGAAGAAGCCCGTACCTCTGACTCCACCACTGGCTCTTGGTATCCCACACCCACCCCATCTTAGAGATGGGGGTTTCCTTTGTACTGACCTAGGCGCATTTTCTAGCTCAGAGCCACATACAGGAAATGCCAGGCTGAAGCTGAGCATGCTCTCCTCTGGCCTTCACAGACGGATGGAAGCGGGCTAGATGGGTAAGGCCAGAGTTGAATCGTATGCTCTTCTACCAAAGAACCCCCAGGTATGTGGGTTAGGGCAACTGGTGGTGTAACAAGCTCTCTCAGAAGCTCTTACTCCTGTTGGGATTTTTTAAGACAAATTTTAAATGTCAAATGATCTTACATCTGCTAACTGTCACCATAGTTTTTGAATTCACTCCTGGTTCAGCAGTTGGATGTTACCAGCCAGCCCATCAACAAACATTTGAGCTCATTTTATGTGCCAGACAGTCAAATAGGAAAGTGTTGACTAATTGAAACAAATCTGATATCATATTTAGCCTGTGTTTTCAAACCTGACTGATCATTAGAATGACCTAGGGTGTTTAGTAAAAATTCAGATCTCCAGAATTCATGCCAAATTCCAAACCTACTGAGTTCACATCGTTAGACTTCAGGAAGCCTAACACTATATTTTTGATAACATAGAGGCTACCTTGAATTAATTCTAGTGAGATAGCCAAGTTTGGGATATGGTGACATAAATCAAACAGAACTAGAAAAATAAGACCTGGAGTTTAAATATTAAGTCACTTTTTAAAAAACAGAAATGTTTATTTGTGTCTCCAGTGATGTTTTCCCTCCTCCTGTGGGCGCCAGTGACTAGCACAGGTGGTATGTTAGTGTTTGATCCAGTCAAGGAATGTGAACCTGAAAATCACACTGGAAATATGATTCCCTGGGCTTTCTGATGGTGGAACTGTTTCCCAATGATGCTAATTACCAGAGTGTACGTGTTGATTATGTGATGTGATCAGTAATCAATTCTTTTTACCTGGAGTTTTCCTGATCAACATGTATCTAAACAATGGGGGAAAGATGTTTCTGGAAAAAAGAAGGAACACATGTTTGGAACATACCCAAAGTACTGTGAAACAGACCCAGGGGTGAGCAGAATGGAGTGGAATAGAAGACTGTCGTGGATTTTGACTATTTCATATTTAGAAAGACCCTAAATATTTGAGAAACTGGGTGAAGCAGGTAACTCCTGATGGATTCTTACAACAAAGACTTCATGCCAACCCTAGGACCCCTTGAAGAAAACATGGTGTCATGTAGAGTGGAATAGGGTGAAATTAAACAATTAAAAAATTGTTCTCATTTTTAAAGCCAACCTAAACGTGCCACTCTTACCCACAAGCATATTCACAGAGATCCATGTGCAGGTGCACAGGGAGCACACACAAATTCACACACACATTTGCACAGACACGTCTCTTAGGTGGGATTGTATGAAACGGTCTTACAGGTCAAAACAGACAAATAGCAGCAATTACATGTGGTTCAACCTGATATGTAGACATACATGCACATAGATCCATGTGTTTATATAGAGGCTCCTGGGCATGCGTACAACACAGGCAAATATATGTGCACACCGGCACGCACTTGTGTGCAGAAAAATTCTCCAGTGTCCTTCTCCATGGCTGGGCTGATGGAAAGCTAATCAGATGCCTCTTGCTGCCCCCTCATCTTGCTACCTTCCCCAGTATTAATTTCCAATGCCAATCTCTCCCCCATAGGAGAGTGAAGACCTGGAGAAACAGAATGCAGCTCTGCGCAAGGAGATCAAGCAGCTCACAGAGGAGGTGAAGTACTTCTCGTCAGTGCTAAGCAGCCATGAGCCCCTGTGCTCAGTGCTGGCCACCAGCACACCCTCGCCCCCCGAGGTGGTGTACAGTGCCCATGCCTTCCACCAGCCTCACGTCAGCTCCCCGCGCTTCCAGCCCTGAGCTTCCAGAGGTGGACAGAACAGAGCCCCTCCCAGCTGCTCCGGGAGGTTTCGGTGGAGGCACACAGACTGGCGTCAGGCAGCCCTCACCCCTCAGAGCCCTCTCGCCATCTGGAGCCCCGAGGCCGAGGCCTGGACAGGACTGAGCACAGGACTGCAGCAGTTGGAAGTGTGTGTGGCCTTCCAGGAGCGTTTACTCCCGTCCGCGTATACTTGACCCCCATGTGGGTTGAGACCCGATCTAGAGTGTATGACATAAAATGCCCACATCCCATAGCACAAAGGGATGAGGGCAGGGGAGGGTTATTTTTCTAAATAAATGTCTAAAAAGAAACCAAGTTGGCCAGGCAGTTTCCTTCTATTACACTGTCCCTTGAAACCCAAATTCTGAGGGGTTGGGACCATCTTTTGTCCTTGGCCCCAAGAGCCCTTTGAACTCTGCAGGCTCTGCTTATTGGAGTTCTTCTTGCACTTGGACTGTTAATCTACTTAGGAAGCGGAGATTTTTCAAGGCATTTTCAGAGCTCCATCGAGCCCCTTGACCTCCCCCCTTCTCTTCCTCATTGCCTCGGTGCTTTCTAAATTGTCACCCAGTGATTCTCTAGTCAGGAAGAAGCACCAGATGCCATTCCGTGTAGTGGTCATTCAGGTCAGTCCTCTCACCGCCCATTCCCACAACCACACTTACCATCTCCCTCTAGATGGCTGGCCCAGGGCGATGGTGGGTCAGGGCCATGCAAGGCATTCTAGTAAGACACGGGCACCCCTCCTGTGGAAGCCAGTGCTTTCTTCATGTTCTCCTGGGGCAACATGTGGCTTAGGGACACAGGGATTTTCCTGCCAATGGATGCACATGTCCTTCTGAAGAGTCCACTTCCCTTGGAAAGCTGTGATACAGCTGTGCTAACTTTGCCTGTCCCTGGGAAGCTCTGCAGGCCGCCATCTTGAGCAGGGTTTGAGGACAGAAGTGGTTCAGGTGATACAAGGCTGTGCTCAAGTTCACCCATTTGGGCAGAGCCTGCAACCAGAGCTCTCTGATCCCCTGCTTCCAGGTGCACCTGCCCTGCAGAGACCCCCAGGCTGAGGGCCCCTAGATGGCATGCTCCAGCCTTGTCCCCATCACTGCTTGGGAGCAGTGGCAGCACCTGCCCACACACATGGCCTCCGCTGATTGATGAGGACCACCACATGTGAGGAGGACCACCATGCCAGGCATCTACTTCAGCCCCTCAGCAGCCACCCTTAGTGTCACCTTCAGTCACTCCAAGGAATTGCTGCTGCCCACTGCCTCCTACTGGTAGCCTCTTGGGTGTAGTGACCACAGGGGAAAGAGAGAGCAGGCCTGTTTCTCTACGTCCGCTCCTCTTCAACCTGCCACTGACAGCTCTGGTTGGTTTGAAGTAAGATCTCAACCCTGTGTCTCTCCTCACCTCACCAGGATTAAGCCAGTGTTGGGCTAGAGAGATTACTAAACCCCACAGAAGCCTGGAAAAGCATGTCCTTGCACATGGTCACCTGGCCACAAGGAGGTGACTGTCAGTGGGAGGAGCCCTACTCCACAGCTTCTGAGGGCGTGTTGTGACCACTGGGCACCTCACACCCAAAGTCAATGTACGTGGATGCCTGAGTGTGGGCACTGGGCTTAGGGCCTGCTCCACTGTCCAGGAGACCCCCCCTCCATGTCAACATTGCTTCTGACGCAGGACCCTATTTGTGAACCTTAGCTCTCCCAATAGCAGTTGGCCAATAAGACTGCTCTTCCAGTGCTTGGGCTCTGGAAATGGGCGAGAACTTGCTCATCAGCTTCATTCAGGCCGGGCTTTGGTAGCTCATGCTCTGCGTAGCTCTTTCCCGCTCCTGTGTGAACAGGCAAAGAAGCCAGTGGTCACTTTGTATGTTGGGGGCACTGAATAGGATTTGTTTTTCATTCATGAAGAAGCAGAGTTTGGGGTTCTTCTTCCTCTACAGCCAACTCTGCCAGGACCTGACCTGAGACAGAGGCTGGGACAGGTTTCCCTCCAATCAGAGGTTTCTCTCCCCACCCCTGCCCTAGTGCTACGATTTTCCCCTAGAAACCCCGCAGAAGGCACATGACCTGTGTCGGGCATCTTCTGAGCAGGTTGCAGGGTCAGAACTAGCAATGCGGCGCTCACGTGTCCTGTTCCCATCTCACAGCAAGGACGCCTCTTCCCCTTTCATGCTCCACTTTCTAGTGACCCCCCAGCAGTTTTACTTCTCCTTTCTGATCAGTTTGGTAGCGATCTATCAGAAGGCTGAGCCCAAAGTGAGTGCCAGTGTTGACCTCATCTCCACCAGGGACATTGGAGGGGCAACGATGAATAGAGACTTGAGCTCCCAGAGCTTTGACCTCAGATGTCTCAACTGCCAGGTTGTGTCCCAGCCTCCTACGGATGACAGTGGCTCTGTCATGCTGGTGGGTCATTGAGCACATTCAGATGTCTCAGGCAGACACTGTAAATACAGGAAACTCACTGGATGGAGGACAACTGGGAATGGTGGCGAGTGTGGCAAACTGGGAAGGTGAACTTACCTCCTGAAGCTGGCAGCTGCCCCCAGGTTCAAGCTCATGCTGCCATTGTGGGAATTCCAGTCCAGTGCTGCCACGTCTTCTAATCAGTCAAAAGCAGACCAAATCAGAATTTCTACAAGAAATCTCCCAATGCTTAAAGCACTGCAGCTTTAAGGTTGTGGATGTTTGTGGATCAGGTTTGCCTCTAACATTTATAGAGCCTAGGGAAAGAGTACAAACTGGGACCACATACCATCTGTCCATGTGCACATTATAACTCAGGCTGACAAAATATGTTAACTATATTAAACAAAATACGTTCTTTTCTCCTACCTGGATAAATATATCTTCCCAACAACCTGGAAGACAAGGTGTGAATTTAGAATTCTTAGACGCTTCCAAATGTTGCATCAGCACAAAGTCACCCAGGGAGAAACTCCCCCCAATCTGCAGCTAGTCCTCTTGGCGTCTCTTCCTTCTGGTCCCTCCTGTAGCACAGCGATATCCTGTTCCCGGTGGTGGGCATAGCAGCCTGGGAGACAGAGTTCCAGCCATCCCCTCCTCAACAGCCACTCTCACCCCCAGGGGTGCACATACCAGTATTTTGTCTCTTTGAGAATACATGTCACCTTGAGGGCTGCAGCTCGTGGAAGCCCGTACAGGGCCACTCAGGCGGGGGTTGTATGTCCCAGGTGAGTGAAGGGTCTAGAATGGGGATGAAGGCTCTGGCTAGGTGAGTGCCCTTGGTCCTGAAGACTCTTTGCCCTATGGGAAGGGAGTGTAACAGGAAAGGGCCAGGGCCAGACCCCGTAATGCGGGGAATCCAGAGCAGGATCTTCTTTTGTCCAGCCTCAGGGGTGGCACCCCGGAGCCACCTGCTAGTTTGTAACTCTCCTCTGGGACAACAGTGTCTTCCTGAAAAGCCCAGGCCGCAGGAAGGCTGCACACAGCGAGAAATGGGCACTCGATAGCGTCATCATTTTCAGTCACTTTGAAGCGACGGTTCCTGGGGAATATTCGTTTCCCCACTTGCCGTCGTCAGTGTTTAGCTCTTACCAGCAAAGTCATTCCCTGAGCTGGTGTCAAAGCAAATTACGGGAAAGCCAGAATCGTAGTCTTTGGGCTGAGAAGTGTGGGTGGGGAGAGAGAGGGAGGCATAGTCAGCTTAAAGGTCACAGGGTTGCCAGCTACTGGACCCAAACTTACCAGCAGTGTTTATTAATACCTCCAGCCAATGCCCCAGCTGTGGCGGTGGCTTTCCAGTAAAGGAGGTGAGCTGCCACGGCGCCCCACTTCTTTGTGGGACAAGCAAGCCATGTCTCTGCAATATCTGGCTTCCTCCTGCCCCGCAGGTTTCAGAGTTCCCAGGCTGCTCAGGAATTCCAGGAGGGAAAAGGGCCAGTGAACTAAGATCAACACTCAGATGGTAAAGATTTAATCACCTTTCATCTCTGTCAGAGGGGATTGGCATTTTATTTTATTTATTTTTTAAAAGATTCATTTATTTATGCATACAAGAACTGGGATACAGGCCAGAGGTGTGGGCGGTGAGAGGATTCACCAGAGACAGAGTGGGGAGCAGAACAAGCAGATCTACCGAAACACACTGCTGAGGGGAGCAGTGGGCGAGTCAGGAGAGGTCTGGTGCACCATGTGGGTAACTCCCTGGCTGAGGATGGAACTCGTGCTGCAGTGGCTGCAGGTAGCTTCATAGTGCTGCGCCTTAACCCCTTGTGCCACCAGGGAGGCCCCAGATTGGCATTTTAAATGGCACCAAGGAAGGATGATTTTTGACCCAAAGGGATGGACGCCTACTGGTGGCATTTTAGACTGCAGCAAGCGTGTAGAGGAGTTATTTAATGGAATTCTTGCCATGTGATGCCTGGTTACTGCAGTGGCCTTGTGTGGGGGGAGTGGGAGATAGTGGTGGGAAGGCAACAGAGATATAGACCTCTTAAAATTTTTTTATTTTATTTCTTGCTATGTGATTTGAGATAACCTATTTTCAGGAAAATAGAATAAAAATTTATCCTGGTTTGAACAATCTACCAGCAGGCAGAGATAAGGAGTCTCCTCTTAGAGAAACTCACTTGGGAAATTTGTATACATTCCATTGCTGCCAGGGAAGTGTGTCTGGCTTCTTCTGAGAGATTCTGAGATTCTGTAGTGATTGAGAGATTCTATAGAGAGACTGCTTACCTTGTAATTGTGCCCAGAAACCAAGATTGGGAGAAGTGGCAGAGATGGACAAATGCCCTCTGGGAGAATTCTCCCCCTTTCCCTTACTGCACAGCACTCATTTTATCTCGGATGGCGCTGTGTCCAGCTAAAGAGAGCACATTTCCCATACTCCCTTGAAGCTAAAAAATGGCTTTGTGACGCACTCTGGCCAATGAGATATGAGGGAAAATTCCTGGGTAGGGCTTATGGGGAAGTTCTTTAAAAGGTGGCTCCATCTCAGAGGCCTTGGTCCTTTCTCCTTCTTTCCATGTGGAAGCCAGATGCAATGTAGGAGGTAGGGCCACCATTTTAGGACCATGACATTTTAGGACCACGACTTTGTACAAAGAAGGAAACGAGATTCTAGGTCCTGGTAAAGTGCAGAAATGTGATGATACAGCTCCTGGAAGGCCTACTTCTGGATTTCTTTTAAGTGAAAATGAAAAAGAGTTTACTTGGTTAACCACTGTTAGTCATACTATTAAGGGCAGGTTACCTCATTCTATCTAATACAGGAGCCAAGAGAACAACACCAAACAAGGCATTTAAACCATTCTCCTAACTTAGTGGTTCTC